CCCTCGGTTTCCTTACCTCCAGGCACCTTCTCTCCCACTCTACCCTCCAATTCCTCCAGGCTGATCTTTCCAAAGCAAAAATCCAGGTGAGCCACTTCTAATAATGGCTCTCCACTCCCTTCTGGAAAATGTCCAACTCCTCTGCTCTGGGTACAAAGAGCTCCATGTTCTTGCTTCATCCTTGTCTCTGACCTCACCTGCTGGGCACCCCTCTCTCCCCAAACCCTACAATGCACACAGTTCCCCAAGAAGACCTCCAGCTTCATGCGTCAGGGACTTTGCATATGCTTCCCTTTGTGTGGAATTCTCTTCCCTGGCTAACATCAGGTATTTCCCTGCAAGGTCCCTGGAAACCCTTCCTAGGCAGCAGACCTGGAGCTCCTGCAGGCGACTTCCTCAGTCCTCTCTGATCTCCAATGCAGGGCAGGACCCTGGACAGAAATGAATGCTGGAATAGGAAGCAGAGGTGCAAAACCAAAGGTTTCCCTCCGCATCTCCAGGATGGGCACCAATCGTCCAGTAGATGTGGCTTAGTGTAAATTTCAGTTCCCATCCTGGAATCAGTTGAATCTGTGCTTCTTGCCACTCCAGTTTGGGCCAGGAAGTTTTTAGTATTCCATTTTTAAAAACACAACATTTTAGTACCAAAATGAATGCATTTTATTTATAGACACTGAAGCAGGTTGCCTCCTGCCCCCAACTCTCCTTCCAGAAGACAGTCTATCCCATGCATGTTTCCCAGATATGGAAAGCTACAGGGTTCCTTTCACAGCAGAAATAGTGTCCAGGGAAACCCGCCTGGTGGGTTGCTGCTACCCCATCCACATCTGAATGGACGTGGCAGGAAAAGGCCTGGGTGTCACGGAGGCAGTGCTTTGGAACTGAGCAACTGTTTCTGAACACCCATCCCACATGCGACTGGCCCCACAGTGTGTCCACCCTCCCAGTCACCCGGGCTTCCCCGCCCTCTGTAGCTGAATCAGGTGATGTCAAGAGGCAGCTAAAAAGATGCTGCGGAATGGCCAGCCCAGAGCCATGAAAGGAGACAAGAGGCCGGATCCCGGGCCAAACCGCTCTTAAAGAAAGCAAGAATTGTAGAGGACAACAAACAGAACCTTCTTCTGAGATCCTAAAGGAGACTGAGGAGGTGGTTCCTCTAACCTCCCTCAGGATTTGAAAGATCCACTTTTTGGGTTCCACTGGAGTTTAGAAATCCAGAGTCGGCTCCTCTTTCCTCTCCATAGATTGCAAGTGACTCTAGGGGCAGGTCTGCATCTCTGGTGTCCCTCCACACCTCCCACGCTCATTGGACTTTACTGAGGTTCAGTGCTGGGCACCAGGAAAAGAAAGTGCTCCACCTCTGAGGGGACACTGGTGAGCCAACCATGCCTAGAGGGTGCCAGGTGCTCTGACCCTCAAATCCTGCTTAAAGGTCACCTTCCAAGTAAGGTCTTCCCGACTTCCCCATTTTAATATTGCAGCCCCCGCCCTGGCATGTCCTCTGCACTGCTCTGCTCTATTGCCACCTAATAGACTGCAAAATTTACCTGTTCAATCGAACACCTCTCTCACCCCCCTAGAACGTAAGCACCCTGAGGGGAGGCATTTTTGTATTACTCACTGACAAATCCCCAGGATCTAGAACAGGGATCGGCACATAGTAGGTGCTCAGCAAATGCTTGATCCAAGCATTCATTCAGCAAATGCCTTCATTCAGGAATAAAATCTGCAAATGCAGCATGCATTTTGTCAATGTTTGCTCATTGAGAGTGGGGTCTTTAGGCAAGTGAAGTAATTAATAGCCACTTGTGAGGTTCCCAAATAGTGCTGGGCACTATGAGGATATAAAAGCTCTGATGTCTGGCTGGGCACGGTGGCTCACGCCTGTAATCCCAGCACCTTGGGAGGCGGAGGCGGGTGGATCACCTGAGGTCAATTGTTCGAGACCAGCCTGGCCAACATGGCGAAACCCCAACCCTACTAAAAAATACAAAAACTAGCCAGACGTGGTGGTGCGTGTCTGTAATCCCAGCTACTCGGGAGGCTGAGGCCGGAGAATCACTTGAACCTGGGAGGCTGAGGTTGTGGTGAGCCAAGATCGCACCATTGCACTCCAGCCTGGGTGACAGAACGAGACTCTCAAAAAAAACTCTGATGTCCATCCACCACTGGCTTCCTGTTGCCTTTGGAATAAAATAGAAATTCCTCCCACTGTGGCCCCTGCCTACCTCACTTCCCTCTGCTTCTCCAGCACACACCAGGATATGTCTTCACCAGCCTTAAGTTCCTCTATGTTCCAAGCTTGTTCGTGCCTCAGCGCCTTTGCACTTGCTGACCTTGTTGCTGGATCTCAGTGTGAATGTCCCTTCTTCTCATAGTACTTCCTGTCCCCCCCAAACCAGTTACCCCGCAAATCAACACCCACCTCAGCTCCGTTTTGTCATCTGCACTGCCTGAAGTGATCTTGATCATTTATTTACTCGTAGAACCAGTTTCTTGGAGAATCTCAAATCCATGGGCTCTGAAACAAAACCATTACTTTTTCCTGATTACTTTTTTCCATCAAGGTCTGCAGAGGTCCCCTTCCTGCTGGGTCTTCCTAGCAGGCTGATCCCGACACATTTCAGACCATCCTAGTCACCGAAAGGCAGGCCAGGTCAGCTCAAACTCCTGAAGTGTTTGTTCAAATCTCTTTTCCAGAAGAGTGGGGAGGGGAGCAAGATCTTTTCTTCCTGTCTCTGGAGTAACTTGGAACAGAGGGGCCAGGAAGGAGCCGCGCGTCTTCTGCACAGGCCTCCTCTGGGTCCAGTTCCATCTGTTGTTATCTCCGTGGTGGTGGGGGGCGGGGGAAGTGCCTGGTGGTTTTGGGGCTGAGCCTCCTCTGTTGCTGCGGTCTCCTCAGGAAGGGGCAGCCATATTCCCCTCCAGCCCTGCCAGTGAAGAGGCCCCCTACCCTTTTCCAGGTGGGAAACAGCTTCCTTTGTCAGTACCTGTCTGGTCGGCCACATGACTCCACTCCACGTGGGTCCTTCTAGAAGCCCTCCGTGGAACACCTGTGCCGCCCTTCCAGATGTGATCCTTGCTTTTCCTGCTCCTGGTGCAGGCTTCTCCCCAAGCCTCTCCCCACGGAACGCCTCCGAGAGGGGACCAAACAGCTCTGGGGATGTGTGCTGAGCTTCCCAAGGGCGCCCTTGCCACCCTGTGCTGCAGCTGGCACCAGGTTCCTGCAGCTCAGAGAGCATCCGACTGGGGTGCCATCCCAGCCTCCTCTTCCTGGCAGCATCCTGTCTCAGGAGGATCCTCTTGGGCCTCCTTCCCTTGGCGGGGCAAGGGGGTGACGGGGGGGCACCCACTCACCAACACAGTGGTCACCCTCACTCCCGTCTTTCTTGACCATTCCAATCTTATACAGACAGGGAGGAGCGGGGAGCAGGGGGAGGGGGAGCTCACAGCAGCAGGACCAATTCTTCCGTCTTTACTAGGGCCATGGGGAAGGGGGCTGGCCCTAAGCTTCCACATCTCTTTAGGAGGTGGTTTACTTAGCATCTTTGTCCACAGCTGTGGTCCTGGTAACCAATTCTGGAGCAACTGAAAATGTGCCCGCTGCATCCCTTTGGTTATGATGAGCCTTCCCTTTCAGAACATGTAGCACAAAACGGGCAGCCTGGCTGCTAGTGCCTAGGAAAATACCCAGCAAATGGTAGGCCCTTGCTAACGACTTGCTGAAGGCGTGACACGGCCGCTACAGTGGCTTCATGTTGAGTAACAGGAAGAGAAGGGGGATGCGAGAGCCTGACCTTGGCTGACACCGTGTGCCCAGATGCCCTGCACACCCGTTACTTCACTTCTCACAGTGACCTTGAGAGGCAGCCTAACCCCCACCTGCTCCCAGCCAAGCTCGGAAGGAGGCAGAAGAGGATGGCGGCTGGGAGCCGGGCTCTGGCGTCCATGATCCTGGCTTGGCCACCCCTTGGCTAAGTGTCTTAGTTCTCTGACTCCAGCTCTCATTTGTAAAAGGGGGATGGTGAGACTCTGCCCTGTAAGGACTAAATTAGCGAATATATGACATGTGCTTAGCTCGTGTAGAGACATGGCAGGTCGTAAACAGGAACCAGGGCAATTTCCATCATTATCATTGGGACAGGCTCAGGTCGATCCACCCCACTGCCGGCACTCTCTGCACGACGCCCCTCGCTCCTCTGGAGGGAGAGTGATGAAGTCCTCTGGGGCATGGGGGCTGAAAGAAGCCGAGACCCCTGGGGGAAGGTGATAGTCAGGGAAGGCCTTGGATGCCAGACCTTGGCCGGCAGCCTGATGTAAAAGGCGATGAGGCACCTCTGTGGGTCTTTTAATCAGGGCAGTGAGATGATGAAAGTGGTGTTTTAGAAGATTAATCTGGCAGCAGAGACAGGATGGAGAACAGTCAAGCTCAGTGCAAACGATGATGCCAGTTGCCCAGCTCCCCGAGGAAGGCGGGAGCCCTGGCCTTCCTGCACTCAGCCTTCCCTACAGCCGTAGAGGCTGGGCCCTCCATCAAGAGACAGGCACCAAGGGAGGCCGGCAGAGGGCACTGTTCTGCCGGTGACGGAGCCACCTCCAGGGAGGTCTGGCATCTGGCTAGCCAGGAGCAGGCAGCAGAATGGACTCCGTCAGCATAAGGAGGGGGCCATCAGCCCCGTCTCAGCCTTGGGACAGGTTCTGAGCTGGGCATTTCAGCTGTGGGAAACTGTAAGCAAATGCTGGGCCAGGCCTTTTCAAAGCCCACCGTGGGCTTCGCTTTTGCCGTGGGAGGCCCTTTAGGGAGCCGGTGCGCCCTGCCGCGCAGAGTGGGCAGGACCACTCCCTCGAGCAAGGCGACGTCCCGAAGCACCAGCCTCACAGAAGGGAGGGCCAGGGTTCCGAGTGGGGCTCCCGGCTTCCCTGGAACCGGCAGTGACGCAGTGGCCAAAGTGTACAGTGGAACTAGGGCCACCCAGGCCAAGAGTGAAAGGAGCTGCTGCTTCGACATTTTCTCCTCATTTTATTTAAAGCCGTCATTATACATTAAAAGTGCAGAGGTAATTCTGTCTTCTCCGGTTGTGCAGCACGATCTGCTCCAGCTGTTCACGCCAGCGCCCGGAAAACCTCCACCTTCTCCCGGTAGAGCTGGTGGAACTGCTTGGCCAGGCAGTGGAAAGGGGCTTCGAAGTTTTCCATCTCCTTCTGGAAAGACAGTTTAGAGTTGGCTGTGTTACTTTTAGAAAGGTCAGAGGGCCAGCACTCACTCCATGCTTCCCTCATTCAGGGGCTACCTACTTTCCACCTCATTTCATCCTCATACCCTTTGGGGTAGCCGCTTTGATGGATGCCAATTTTACAAGAAGGAAACTCAGATGGATTCAGGAAACTCTGAGATGAAGGTACCTTGCAGGAAGCCACACACCTTGTGAATGGTGGAGCTGGGGCCTGAACCCACGTCTGTTTCTACAAAGCCTGTGCTTTTAGTTGTAGTCACTGTATGTGTGATGAGATGTGAAAATGAGACCTTCTTGTCTTAGTTTTGACTGAGGCTCCAAACGCCAAAGCAAAATACCAGGCAACCAGGAGCCCCCCATCCCGAAGAAGAGCTAGACAGCACGGGGCACCCTCTTCCTAGGCTGGTGCTGGACCCAGGCCTGGGAGGAATCGAGGTGAGGTGGCAGCTGGGCAAGCCAGGAGAGGGCTGCCAACGAGACGGCCTCACTGCCTCCTTTGTCAAACTAAACGGCTGCAGTGGCACTTCCCTGGACCAGCGGGGGCCAAGTGGCGCCAGCCTGGTGCTGTCTTAAGGGGCCTCGGCTGGAACCGCCTCAGGGAGGGTGATGGATCCCAATAAGAATGAACAGCCAGGAACTGGGGCTGCAGGACGGGTGAGGGGGCACCACCTGTGAGAAGCAGCCTGCAGGTGAGACAGCGCCACTGATGGGGTGGGGAGGGGCATCTCAGAGGCGCCCACAGGACACCAGCCGGATCCACCCAGCAGGTATGGAGTGGGCCACGACAGACCCCAACAAACACGCTGCACTACTGGCTCCAGTCTCTCCCTCCCGAAGACTGTGAGAGGAGGTGCGACTTTAAATGAAGTTCAGAATTTTGACAATCACCCAGGGCTGGGCACTTTATACCTGAAATCATGACTATTTTTGTGACTAAAGGGGCCGAAAAGAATTTTTGTTACCTGAGAGAGAAAAGAGAAGTTAAGGAACTTGCCCTAGATTTTATCTAAGGGGTGGAAAAAATGGGCCCCTCCAGGTGCGCAGGGACAGGCTGGAGGCGAGCGGAAACGGCAACTTCTCACTTCACAGCCACTCTCGCTCTGTGGGGACACGTGTGCATTCAAAAACTTTTTCAGAAACAAGCTGGCAAAAAAAGGAATGTACTACTTTCAAGACAGTAGCTCAAGCTATGAATGCACTAAGGACCTGTTTTGAGACGATCCCTGGCAGCTGGCAAAAGTGCAACCTTGAGAAGAGGCCGTGAAATATCCCCAGCAAAACAGAAGGATTTCCAAACTGAAGAACGCTGCACAGAAGGCATCAAGCGCGGTGCTTTCGCTGCACAGGTGAGTCGTCTGGGGCCCAGCAGGTGAAGTGGCCCAGCTGACTGGTGCGGAGCCCAGCCCAGCATCCAGATTCTCTGATTTGGGAAGAGCTGCCTTTCCTCGAGGCCAGCTGGGATGAGAGAAATGTGTGAAGGAAACCAGGTCCCTTGGAGAAAGTTACCTGGACTTTCTAGCCAGGGAAAGCCTAAGCAAATAAAACAGTTGGCCAAGAGGAAAGACAGCGGTGGCAATGCTGAGAGAGTGTGGAGGAAAGAGTGGAGCGTTTGTAGCCCAGACGAACATTTACAGTAAGCGCCCAACAGCCAAGGACTTGAAGGCCATCAACCTCCAGCTGGACATGAGAGCAAGAATTCAGTACATCCTGCCGGGCGCTGCTGTTTGTGCAGAGCACAAGGTCCCAGGCAATGCCAGTGTCGGGGTAAAACACTGCTTCCGTCAAAAGCAGAGTTAAGAGTGGAATGGAAAAAGACTGAGGCCTGCATAGCGCACGCACGGGGATTTCTAAATGGATTCGAAAACACTCAAAAACGCAATCTTGGGAGATCTCAACATAAAAAGGAAGGAATTCAATGCAGGTGAGCCTCAATAGACACCACGGCGTGCTTCTGAAATAGATGGAAATTGAACTATTTTCCAAATACGTGAAGAGGGTTGCCAATGACAGGAATCCTTTTGTCTGATCACTAATCATCATCTCGCTTACACAGTCAGGACAGCTGTGGGGTAGGTCTGTTTAGAGTGAGGGATTCTCAGGGCAGGTTCAGGCTAGTGTTCAGTCTGGCCTAGAATTGTGTTCTGCAGTGTCCCAAAGCAGGCTCTGCGGGAGGCCAGGGTACCCCTTCTAGAAAACCCAAGTTTTCCAGCTGGACAGGCCTGACCGCTAGTCCTGTTTCTAGCCCTTGTTTAACTGTGCGACCAGGGCAAGCTACACAACTTTTCTGAGTCTGTCATCTGTACAACACAGGGGTGTTACATTGTAGGGCTGTTATGAAGCCTAAACAACGTGTGCAAAACACCTAGCACACAGTAGGCCCTCAATGAACATTACTTCCCCACTCCTCGCTTGCCTGGGAGGGCAGTGATCACTGTGGACTGTTCTTGCACTTGTCTGTAGGGACCTTCTTTGGGTCGGCAGGATGGTCACTGCGGCATTTAGGCAGAGGAGAGAAGGAGATGGGCTTGGCATCAGGCCTTGGCTGCGTCTCAAGCTGCGTTTGGTTATATTTCCTTTTTAATTACAGCTTTCTTAACTGAGCTGCCAGTGGTGCTTCTGTGAGCCTCAACTCAGGGGGGACTAGTTAACTTGCACAGATAATAGCAAGTGCTTACTGCAGCCTCTTCAGGCATAGTTTATACCCACCCACTTCAACACCTGAATAGAGTTTAACCGGTAGCCCACTGGCCTTTGGTGACTCATGTTTTGGAGGTTAGGGTGGGTTTTAATTTCTGAGTTCTATCAAGTGTTCCAGGGAATATGGAATATTGGGGTGCGGGGACAATTTCACAAATGAATGGAGGAAGGGGGAATACTGAAATCCTGTTTGCTAGGGCACTACTGCCTACTGCTTTGCACAAAGGTGTGCTGCAGAAAAGATGAGGAACCTACTGTACAGGAAAAGCTGATTTGGACTTCATTAATTTAGCATTTGTGATAATTGGACCAAGGGCAAGGGTGATATTTACCTCTGCACAAGCCATGAATACAAGGATTTAGTAAGTAATAACAGTATAAACAAGATTCCAGGGGCCACATTTATACTTTAAGAAAGCTAACATCTACTGAGTGTTTACCAGGCGCCAGACTTTGTGATCCGTGTTTTATATGCACCATATTACTTGATTCTCATATTTATTACTCAATGGGGATGTATTTTATTATCCTCATTTTACAGGCCTGAGGCACCAACAGTTGAAATAACATGTCCAGGTTCCCATGGCGAGTTCTCCTGCTCTCCATGGGAGGTCAGAGTGCCTGCCTTTACCACTGTAAAGGAAGCATGCTGCTTTGAGGGGATTTTATAAGCTTGGACAGCAGCACTGGTCAAGGTTCCTAGATGCAACAGCGGAAGTGCCTAGAGCCAAAGTCAAGCTGGGGCAGCAGATGACCTCTAGAACATTAACCAGCCCATGCGAAGACGATCTCCAGAACATTAACCAGCCCATGCGAAGACGATCTCCAGAACATTAACCAGCCCATGCGAAGACGATCTCCAGAATATTAACCAGCCCATGCGAAGATGATCTCCAGAACGTTAACCAGCCCATGTGAAGACGATCTCCAGAACATTAACCAGCCCATGCGAAGATGATCTCTAGAACATTAACCAGCCCATGCGAAGACCATCTCCAGAACGTTAACCAGCCCATGTGAAGACCATCTCCTGAACATTAACCAGCCCATGACTCTTTTGAGGGCCACAGAATCAGGTCTAAGGTCACAAGATGAGGTCCAAGTTATGACCATGACTGTGCCAGGCCTGGTGGTCTCCCCAGCTAGCAACCCTGGCAAGGGGCAGGGCAACCAACACCCCGACCCCTGCTGGTTCTGAGATGGATGTCTGGGGCCACTCCTGCTCCTAGAGGGCAGGTCATCACTTCATGCCCTTCCTAGTGGAGTCTCATGTGAGGGATCTGATTGGTGCAGCTTGGGTCACATGCCTGCATCTTGGCCTCAGGGAGGAAGGGACTTGAAAACTCCCAAACACAGGAAGCGGGTTCCTCAGTGCTGGACAGCTAAAATCATGATACATGAGGTTGGTGCAAAAGTAATTGCAGCTTTTGCCATGAAAAGTGTACTGAAGATGCTGATAACAAATCACTTGCTTTTTCTACTTAATGAGGTCTTTTGATCTTTTAACTGGTAGGAACTTTGTGGCCTGGAGTCACCCTGGGGCTGCAGCAAGGTGAGGATGGGAGGCACTGATGGGAATTAGAGGCCACAAGTCCTAGTCCTGGCTCCACCCTTCACTAATCATGGGACTCTGGACAAGTCACTTCAGCAGCTCAACACTGGAATGGGAACTGTGAAGCCAACTTCTGGTTCACAGGCCTGATTGTGAGAGCCACAGGAAGCAATGTTCCAGCAACATCTGAACCCAGAATACTGCATGCAAACGTCAAGGGTCATGATCACCGCACACCATGCACTTCTGTTTCTTACTAGTTGAGATATACCTTTTCCCAGGGTTGGCTGGCTAATCTGCCTTCCTGTTATGTCTAAGCGGCTACTGCTGTACTGAGAAGAGATCTTGGGCTAAGAATGTAAACATCAGTTCCAAATGAGACTCTGCATATGGTGGAATAACAGCTCCCTGCACGTGAGGTCATGTGCAAGACCGCTGCCAGCAGAGGCCCACTCCAGACTTGGCGACGAGGCAAGCGGAGATACTCACCACGGATGTTTCAAAACATTCCAGGCCTTGGCCCAGCGCCCATGCCCGGGCCTCAGCTGAGTCCACTGCTCGCCTGCCGACCAGGTCTGTCTTGTTCCCAACTAAAACACCTACTCAGAAGAAACAACCAAAATATGACACTTCACTGTCACAGTCTGGAAGGACAGCGGGCGAGATGAGAGCACTATTTTTGAGGGGTGTAAAGCGTCCTCTAAGAGCTGCCCGACTCAAGGTGGTGAGACCCCACAGGGAAAGCCGGGGGTCTCTCGTGCTGGGCCCGACGGCCACAGAGAGACAGGTGGGCTTTGCTTTTCATGCACAGCTTCTGCTAGATCTTTTTTCTAGACCTCATGTATATCTGTCTCCCTTGCCTCCTTAAAGGGCTGCAAACGCGTGAAGGCGAGGGCCAAATTTATGTGAGCCTTTTAATAATTCCTAGCACATGGAGCAAACTGTAAACTGGTCATTAATACTAATCTAAGGACTCGGCTCGGAGTCAGGGATTCAGAGGTAATTTAGTTCAGCTCCCAGCTGCATCAGCTGCAGCTAATTTTTGAGCCTGTCTCTGGAGATCACTTTCCCCGGTCTATAATGAGGAGAATTTGTTGATCTCACATAGGGACGAAAAATAAACTGATTTAAAGCATTCAGAAGTGACAACAGGACTTGAATGTTTACTTGTACCCCATATACAAGAGAAAATTAGGAACTCTTCCCTGGGGTTAGCTTTCTGGAATTAACAACTGATATTACAGCACCCTCCCCGTATTGAGTCGCCCCACAGCCCTGCCAGGTGCGTGTCCTCATTCCCATTTCCTAGACTGGGAGAGGTGTGTGTGGTGACCCACCGAGGTTGGCATGGCTGCTAAGCGGCAGGGCCAGTGTATGCCTCAGGCCATCAAAGTCAAAGCCCAGGGCCCCTTCCCCACCCACAGCTGCCTCTGCAATGCCCTTGTGCTCTTGAACCGAAGGACAGCGATGCCTCTGGGAAACATGGGTGTCTGCAGCTCGTACCTGGGAGAGAGGTGCCTGGAGCCTGGGCCCGAGCCTTCTCCAGCCACTTGCTGCAGTTGTTGAAGGACTGTTCACTGGTCACATCATAGACGAGACATAAGACATTGGGACTCTCCCACTGTGCAAGAGGGACAGGATGAGCATGGGTCAGTAACAGGAAAGGTGACTTCAAGGCTGGGAGACAATTTGGCCTTTCAAGGGAAAAGCTATGGGGAGCAGAGGGAAACAGAAAACTATAAAGGGGACGGGAGTCAGAAAACAGCCACACCCACAGAAGTCAAACAATTTCCCCAAAGGAATGAACGGAGGGCCCCGTTCAGTGGCAGGAGGCAGGGCTGGGGCGGTGCTGCCAAGGACGAGAGCTCCTGTCTGGGCCAGGCTCTGCTGGGCACTTCTGCGCCTCACTGTGAAGCCTCCCAGCGCGGTGGAGCGTCTGAATATTTCCACTTTGTAGCTGAAGAAACCGAATTCAGGGAGGCTAAGTGACTTGTCCAGGCCTGACAGGCTTTAAAAACAATGACAACGATGACAGAGATGGGGGACGACTGAGGTCTTCTCTACCCAGAAATCTGCGTTCACCTGTGGCTGGCCTCGTTCAGTCATTCTCCACTCATTCTCATTGAGAGCCCACCACCATGCAAGTTATGTTTCTGTGCTTTCCAGCCCTGAAAGAAGATTCTTTCTTCATTAGCCAGCCCTGGGAGCTTGTTTGCTTGTATCTTCTTAATAAGGGCTGGCTTTTTAAAATGCAGAGGACACTTTCTGCTTCTCTTGCCATCCCTGCATCAGCCTAATCCAAACCACACCGACAACTGGACAGGGCTCCATGACCCAATTAAGAGCCGAGGCTACACTCTCGGGGGCTGTCGCCTTCAGGGGCTGCTCAGAGTCCTGGGGTGTCCTGCTGCCTACCCCGATGTCGGATGGCCCTGTACAGGCTGTGGGTGCGCACCCTGGTGCTTGTGACTCTTGGTCATGCCCTGGTTTCTGGATCCCCCAACCTTGCACAATTAGGACCTGGTTTATTTCTGGGGTGTCAGTAACCTTCCAGGATACAGAGGAGAATCCTTTTCCCTCCAGATGGGATTCCCTTTTGGATCCTTGGAAGGCCAGCCCAGAGTCCATTCTAGAGGGCTCCTCCTCACCCTGTAAGGCTGTGCTGGCTCCTGGCAATGTCCAGGATGGGAGGACCGTGAACTAAACTGACGAACCCTTCACTCCACAGATTAACTCTTGAACTCCTGCTAGAACACACTGAACTCTGTTACATGCATGCAGGAGACACCTCAGCATGGTTTTAACTCAAGAAACCTCCTTCTTCCAGGCTGCAGTGAGGCGATCCCGGAGAGGCCTGGCATCAAGTTAAAGCCAGAGCGGGTGAACCGGGAGTCAGGGCCGGCTGGAGGGAAGGGTGTGAGCTGACGGGTGGCACATGGCCTGGATTTGCCCAAATACATCTTCCCTTCTGCTGGGCATGGCAGCCCCAGTGCCAGGCCATGCACACAGTAGGCAATTGGGGTGAACATCGTGAACCGATGCATGGAGCCAACCCTGTATGAAATCACTATCATTAGATCTACTTTTCTTAGGCGACAAAAAAAAAAAGGGACAGAAAACAGTTTCCATTAAAATGTGGCTGTTCTTGGAAAGGCAGGGGAGGGCTCTGGAGAACTCAAACCTTCTAATTAGCTCACTGGCCCAGATTAGTGAGACTGTTACCATGGAAGGTACAGCAAGCGGATCCTGCGAGGCTGGTGGGACGGGGGTGGATGGGGCATGGTGAGCCCTGGGCAGCAGTAGGGGCATTTCCCGGAGTAAACCCCAGTGGAACAGCAGAAAGGGAGCCTCATTATAGGCTGAGGCCTCTACAGCACTTCCCAGAGGGGAAGGAGGCAGTCTGTACTGTCCTGGGAGGTAGGGGACACCATCTGAAAGGACACCATCAGGAGGGTGTTGCTCTAAAGGAGGGAGGCCTCACAGGGGGAGGGCTGCAAGGACCGAGCCGCAAGGCTCTTGGCCCATTGGATCCTGGGCACCCCGGAGCTGGGGCCCGGGCAGTCACGCGCATCAGCCGCTCCTTCTTGCCAAGTAGGCACGAGTCTGGGCTGGGAGGAACGCCCCTTAAAGAGGAATGCCATGGGAGCTTCCCAACAGCACAGTGCAGGGAAACTGCTGTGTGAGCACTGTCAGGGACCAGCGTTTCGGCAGGAGGTGGTGATGGTCAGGAAAAAGACCACGTGCTACTTGCCAATTTATCCAGCATTTCCGAAAACAGCTCCTTGCCGGCAGAGTCGAAAATGAAGAGTTCCTACAATCAGAAAAGCAAGAAAGTCTCCACGTGGAAAAACCACAAGCTACGAGTCAGTGGTATCACTCTCAGCTCACACTAGTCTTGTCTTAGGGGTGAAATACAGGCACCCACATCTTCACACATGCTCTGTCCTTTCTCCCAGGCACGAGAGAAGATGACGGGGAAAGGAGCGAACTCCAGAGTCTTAGGGAGGCGGTACGACGGGTTCTCGCACCGACCAGCACTTTCTGTGTGGAATCTCACCTCTTGTAACCCTGAGTGCAAAAATACCAGGAACAAGCTGACTTCCCACCTGGCAGAACAGAATGTTAAACAGGCCGGCGAGCGCTCTGGTTTCCAAAAGGTCATTCTGCACTTTGTTAACCAAATTGATTTTCAAATCTTAGAACAATTCTTTCTAAAGGAGGTCACTGAGTAGGCCTGGGGAAGGTGTTTAAAGTAGGACATTCTGTCACCCTTCTGGGATGGCTAAGGAGTGATGCAGACAGAGGGTGCGGGATGACCCTTCCTGCCCCGTCCAAACCTTCGCCAGCTCACGTGAGAGCCCCCAGGGCTGCTCCCCTAGGAAATCACCCCTCGGCTCCCCGCCAAGCTCCCTCCTGGCACTGGGTATTTCCTGGCTGGCCTCTGATCCCCAGCATACGCCGTCTGAACATCAGTGCCACGGTCTGTTTTGCATATTGGTTACCTGGGCACTCACCTTTCTCTTCGTCAGAAGTACTTATACTTTTTTTTTTCTCAGACCTCTTTAGGAATCTGGTGAAAGCTACAAACCCTCTCTCTAGAAAAGTACACACAAACATAACACCTTGCAATCCACTTTCAAGAGTCCCAGGTTCCCATACAGAGACTCAAGAACCTTGATAGTAGAGAACACGTTCTTTGAGGGCCAGGCCCATATCCTAGTCCTCCTTCCTTCCTCCTCCACCTCCTCAGTCCCTCCCCTGAATGCTTCCTGATTCTATTCCGAAATGCTCAGACAAGCCACAGCCTTGCACTACATCTCTCCTAGGGAGGGTGGTGTGACCACAGAGACCCTGGGCCCAGCTGGGGGAGCCCTGAGTTCCCTTGGGTAAAGGCATCACTCACCACACTGTCTCCCGTGTCAGGAACTGGCACTGTCTTCACCACCAAATCCATTCCTGTTGTCTGCCGAGGAACACCAAGAATGTTAGCATTGAGGGCCCCCAAAGCGGAAGCCTGTTACAGGAGGACACACAAGCACCCCGATCCCAGGGGGGCTATCTCCAGTGGAAGGGTTTGTTCTAGACTCATTCTGGTGAGAAGCAGCTCAGTGTGCAGAAGTCAGAGAGGACCCACTAGTCCTCTCCACCTCCCTGCCCCGACATGAGCTGCTACACATGGTGGCCAAGTTGCTTGTGGCCAGTCTGCTCTGTAGCTGACCTCTCACCCTGGGCTAGTGGAAAAATCGATCTCTACGTGGCCCTCCGAGCAGCCTCTCATCAGCTGTCTTAAGGCTTCTTCAGGGAACTTCGCAGTCACTCACTCACGGTGACTGAGCACTTCTCTTTAAGCCATGGCCAGGTCCCGACTCCCCAGCTCACCAAGGTGTAGCTCTTCTGGAAATGGGCTCCGTCACTGCGGAAGATCTGCGCCAGGGCGGTCTTGCCCACTGCTGGGTCTCCTGTGAGGTCAGAAAAGAAGAAAAAGAACGCCTCCGTTCTCATCTGACTTGAGACTCTCTCGCTGCAGAACATTAGTCTAGAAACCAAAAACTTCAGTGAGTTTTGAGAGATGTACTTGCCTCTCACAGGAACTTGTTCTGAGGCCGTGGGCAGGGCACAGGTCCGTGAGACTGATCTGCAAACCTCACAGCAGCCAGAGCACATTCCTGCATGGCTAAGCCTTTTATCCACGGGAACTGACCCAGAAGGCAACAGAGCTTACGGAGGGCTCTGGGGCCCTGGAAACGGAACGGACGCTCTTCCACTGAAACACACCCTATGGGGAAAAGCTGTCACTTCCAAACTGGAATTTACTTTGAAGTCTTGAAGGTAAAGAAGTGTGACTGGCACTGACAGGCAGACACACCTGTTAACTGACCCAATCTGGGTTGACAGCTTCCACCTGAATACTATTTTGGGTGGGGGGTCAGGGATGGAAGGGTCTCTGCATTTGTGGGAAGCAAGAAGTATGAGGCTATGTTCATCATCCTGAAATCTCTTTCCAAATGCTATGCTCCGTCTCCATCGCGGACTGCCCGTCTGTGACCCGAGGATTCATCTTCCCAGGGGCCTCTCCACCAATTCTATCTGCAATAGCAGTCACCTCCTCCAAGCTCGTCTCTCACCTACTGGCTTTATCTCCCTCTCCTCTGCTGCTCAACAGCCCCAGAAACTGGTCCCTCAGAACTAAAGGTTTATGTCGCAGTTTTCGGTCTCATACCTGAGCCTTTCACAAGATGGTTGGGCACCATTTAATCGAGCGCTCCTCCTGTGCCTGTCACAGGTGCTGGAAGCTCTCCCTGCCCGTCTTGAATTTCCCTTTGCCCTCCCCATTTTCCGTCTCATGACTCTGCTGAGCCTCCTTCGATGCCGATTCTTTCCATGTTCTACCTCTTTTCCTCCTGAGTCTTACATAGACTTGCACTCCACCGTCCAGGCCCTGGCAGAACACGTGCTTTGCACTTCTCATCCTCTGGATGCTTAGCAAAATCAGCACCGCACTCCGCGGCTTCCAACTCGCATCACTTGGTACCATCTCTTCACCTTTGCTTCCCACTTTACAGTCGGCTTCAACACTTCTTTCCTCAACTTCTCGACAGTCTGCCACTGTTCACTTTTCAGTTTTGACTTTTCCTACCTATAATTTTCTCTTGTAAGACAATTATTTCAATGCTTGTGTCATTTCATTTTATGTGAACTCCTCCAGGTTTGAGTGAGCTATTCAGGTCCTGCTTTTCTATTTGTCATCACTCCTTAGAAGGGAACCAACAAGTGCTGAGCCCCCCTCACGGGCCTGTTCACACAATCCCATTCATTCCTTCTCCGCCAAGGTATCATTAACCTCACCTGACAGATGAAGAGACTGAGGCTCAGAGAGGCTGGGTAACTTGCCCGGGATTCCAACCTCATGCTCTTCCCAGGCCTTGCTCCTCTCCTAGAGCTCAGGGACCACTTCTGATCCTTTTCTTGTTTTGAGACGGAGTCTCTGTCACGCAGGCTGGAGTGCAGTGGCGTGATCTCGGCTCGCTGCAACCTCCGCCTCCCGGGTTCAAGTGATTGTCCTGTCTTAGCCTCCTGAGTAGCTGGGACTACAGGTGCGCACCACCACGCCCAGCTAATTTTTGTATTTTTAGTATAGACGGGGTTTCACCACGTTGGCCGGCCTGGTCGTGAATTCTTGACCTTGGGTGATCTGCCTGCCTCTGCCTTCCAAAGTGCTGGGATTACAGGCATGAGTTCTGACCCATTTTTAATGCTGCCCCTCCAGGCCCTCCTCACTGCAGCCTTCCATGACATCTGGGGCAACCACAGCCTAGACCGTCACGGGGTACCCGTCCATCTCGGAGCAAACAGAGCGTGTCGCTTTCCTTCCTTGGACCCTGACTGCGCCTGCCCTGCCGACTCCAGTTCTGCTCCTGAATCCAACTGGAAATCGGCTCCTCCTGCTTATGAGATTCCTCACAGATTTGTTCTGGTTAATTTCATAAGTCTTTCCTCTGACTGTCAGTCACAGTCACCAACACTTACAGGAAACCGCCTGTGTTGGCTATGAGGGCTCAGAAGCACAGGGAGGTGAAATAACTGATAAACACATTTGCAGAGCAACAGGATGACAAGTGCAAATTCAAATAGCACAAACTGAGAAGCAAGGCGTCTGGGGAGCATCGAGGAAAGAAATGAATGAGAGGGTTCACTGGGGAAGGAGGCTTCCCTAGGGGCAAGGGCTGGGCCTGGGGGTGACAGCAGGCAGGGCTCTGCAAGACCGAGAGGATGACGTCTGCAAGGGCACGATGTGAGGTCACCTGTGACCTCACAGTTGCCAAGGCCGATAGCCTTTTCTTGGTTCTCATCCTCCTTGACGTCTCTGAAGGATGTGAGTCAGCCTGAAGCGACCCCTTCCTTCCCGAGTCCGGTCCCCATGGCCTCAGTGACCCTGCCCTGGCCTGGTTCTCCTGCCATCTGCCTGCCCCTATGCCCCCCGAGTGTAGGCATTCCCATAGGCCTGTCCTCGGTGGCGCTCTGCTCCCAGTCCACTCCATCCCACTGACTCTTGTCACCTTGACAGAGGGCAGGCTCTCCCTCCCAAGCTTTGTCTGTATATCCAAAAACCCGTGTGCATTGCCAGTTGCCATTAGAATGAAGGATCTTCCTCCAACCTCAGTCTGTCTACGGCCAAGCTCTGTCATGCCCTGGTCCTGAGTGGGTCGTCCCCCTCGCCCATGCTTTCTGTTCGTGATGCCACCATGTATTTTCATCGTCCCCAGATTCAACAGGTCACCTCTGACTGCTCCTCCTCCTTCCTCCTGTCTCCAGGTAGCCTCCCTTGCATTCCTCACATCCTTGGCTGAGTCTCAGCCCATCTCTGCTCGGCCCTCCCTGCTGACCCCGCCGCCCCAGTTAGCTCAGACCTCACGGCTGGGTTTCTGTCTCAGCCTCAAGTCCTTCCGTGGTGTGCTGGGGAGGGGCCTCTGCAGACACGTTCCTCCCTTGCTAGGAGCTTCCTGTTAGGCTTTGCCAATGGGAATTCTGGAAGAAGAGGGGAAGGCCGGCGTCAGGGGAGAGGACGTTGCTCTTCCCGCCTGCTTCTCCTTTTTCTTAGCACTACCCTAGCAATGGCCTGCACCCCAGCAGCACTAACTGCTTCCGGTCTTGGTTTTTTGTGTGTGTGTGTTTCCCTACTCCTAGACCAGCCTTATTGTTGCCCCCAGAGGAACCAGCACCAGTGGGCAGTGCCCTCTTCTCAGAGATCCACACCTCGGCTCCCAGGGCCCCTCCTTCCTGCTTCTGGGCTGAGAGCCCCACATGCTTCCCTCTGCTTTCCCAGCCCAAGAGGCGGTGCTCCTTCCTGCAGTTACTACCCATGCTGCCTCAGTCTCCCCCTGTTCCTCTTCCAGTCCTCCAGCACCTGTGTCATTAACATCCTACTGAAATCCTCACCACTGAAAGGCCGAATAGAGTTGCTGGTTTTTGCCTGGCCCCTGACTTACGTAGTCCTTGGTACCGGGAGTGATCTTAAAACACAAACCCTCCAGGATGGTTTGGAACTGGTTTGGTATGTCTTGCCCTGAACACAGGGCTGGGCTCCTCCCAGTGGGAAATGGGTCCTGGTGCTCTGTGGCATGCGGCGGGTGACTGAACTCCTGAAGGTGCTGGCACCAACCGGGCAGGGCCCCTTCTTCAGGGATCCGGATCTCAGCTCCCTGGGGCTCTTCCAGCTTCTGACACCCCCGACCTCTGCCCGCCACTCTGCGTCATCTCAGTGCTGCCTTCTTGCTTCCTCAGTTCTCCACCGCCTGATGAACCGATTCCATATAATAAAATGTCTCCGCTGAAATGGCGACTGCGCTTTCTGTCTTCCTGACTGTGCCTCAACTGAAAACACTTCTCTCCTCTTCCTTCTCTCTCCCGGCTCTAATCCGCCCAGAGTGCGGCATCCACAGATGGACCCTCATAACACAGTGCCTCCATCTTGGCAAACCTTCACACAAACCCCACTGAGGATTCCTTCATGGCCTACCCATCTCCACGGTCAGCCCTAACCCACCTTCCCACTCTCTCCCCAACAATCCCTTACCCCAAATCTGGGCTCTGCATTCCTGTTCTCCCAGTCCCTGAAAATTCCTCAAGGCCACCACCTTCCAGGTACCCCTAGACCAAATTCAAATCCCGTCCATTCGCTGCAAGGAAATCTCAAACAATACCCTTCCTGCACAGTCTCTGAAGGCCATCTCTCCCTCCTTCGTCTTTATCTGTGTGGCTAATGTGGATCACTGCTCAGTGGCAGTGCAAGATGTGATGTCAGAGCAACCCTCCCAGGAGGCTCTATTACCATCTCCATGTATATCAAGAGGCAGAATATCACGGTACTTAAGGGCACAGACTGTGAAGCCAGATTCCAGCTCCATCACTTTCTAGCTGTGTGACTTTAAATCAGTGAGTTAACCTCTCTGTGCCTCAGCTGCAACACGTATAACACAGGATCATCACAGCACCTACCTTGCAGAATTGTTATGAGGATTTAATGAGTTAGTATGTACAGTGCCTGGCATAGATAAGTACTATTTAAGTGTTTTTTTAAAAAGTAAATCAAATATAGATCAATGTCAAATGTTGTTTTCTCTCTTCTCCAGAACCAGAACAAGCAGCAGCTGTGCCTGGAGGTATTTCCCCGCATCTGGCACACAAAGGGCATTTGCTTTGTGTTCGCTGTGTTACAACTTATCACGTGCATCTTAATTCTTCCTTGAATGCAACTGCTTCATGCTTGCATGCCCACTGCACCTTGCACGGTGACTCAGACACAGCAGGTGCCCAGTGAGTATCTGTTCAACGCATTAACACTTGAACTGAACATCAGGTCCTTCAATGACTAGTTACGTGAGAGAAAAAACAGAATAACACAGTTTCAGCAGTAGGGCTGTGGGTCATGGATGGGAAAATAAAACCAATGGTGTGTGTGTGGCAGGGGTGGGTGGGGGGTGTCAAAGGGGGTTGATTTCTGGGCTGAGGTCTTTTGGCCCCTGGGAACTTTCAAGAGGAAATGCTGTGGAAGCCTTGAAGAGGCTGCAGATTGAGGCGCAGGCTGGAGTTCAGGAGCCGTTAACTAGGCAGTGGCTGCATTCAGGTGAAAGAACTGCCCAAGGGAGTTGGGGTAAAGAAGGGCACAAAGAGGCCAGGCACGGTGGGTGGCTCATGCCTGTAATCCCAGCATTCTGGGAGGCTGAGGTGGGCGGTTCACTTGAGGTCTGGAGTTCGAGACCAGCCTGACCAACATGGCGAAACCCCACCTCTACTAAAAATACAAAAATTAACTGGGCATGGTGACATGTGCCTGTAACCCCAGCTGCATGGGAGGCTGAGTCAGGAGGCGGAAGTTGCGGTGAGCTAAGATTGTGCACCACTGCACTCCAGCCTGGGAGACAGAGTGAAATTACGCCAAAAGAAAAAAAAAAAAGGGCCGGGCACAGTGGCTCATGCCTGTAATCCTAGCACTTTGGGAGGCTGAGGCGGGCGGTTCATCTGAGGTCAGGAGTTCAAGACCAGCCTGGCTAACATGGTGAAACCCCGTCTCCACTAAAAAATACAAAAAATTAGCTGGGCATGGTGGTGGACGCCTGTAATCCCAGCTACTCGGGAGGCTGAGGCAGGAGAATCGCTTGAACCCGGGAGGCGGAGGTTGCAGTGAGCTGAGATTGTGCCATTGCACTCCAGCCTGGGCTACGAGAATGAAATTCCATCTTAAAAAAAAAAAAAAGAAAGAAAAAGGCCCAGAGGAGCACAGCTTGAGGACAGTGTAGCTTCGGCTAAAGCCCTGGAAATCAGACTAGGACCCAGGGTCTGGATCATACAGCACTGCCGCTTCCAGCTCTGTGACCCAAGGCAAATGTTCTCATTTTTCTGGGCCTCAGTTGCCTCATCTGTAAATGAAGATGGCAATAAGACCAATCCCCCAGGGTTGCTATGAGGATTCAGTGAGACCACCTGTACCGAGGGTCTAGCACCGAGCTGATGCACCCAAAGTGCTCATTAAGTTAGCTCCATGATGAAAACTGAATGTAAAAAGAACACAGAGAGAAGCCCATTAAAAAAAAAATGTAACTTCAGAAAATAATGTTCCCACCTTATCCATAAGGAAATTAAAGCTCAAAAAAGTGCTTTGTCCAAGATGACACAGCCAGTAAGAGGAAGAGGCAAAATTACTTTTGTTACACAACACTGCCTCCTCTGGTGTTCTGGAAACTGGAGACTCTCCTGAGAACCATTAATTTCTTTTGCTCCAGTATGATTCAGTTACTACTGTCAGTCATCCTTCTGTGTGACCCTTTTATTTTCAAAGTATAAAAGCTATTAAAAATATCATAATTTATTCTCAGTCTGGAAGAGGGGAATTTTTTTAAAAAGAAATCTTTTTCTCTATATAATTTCTCACCACTTCTTTCCTGAGCTGGCCAGGGAAGCCTGGAAAGGTCACAGGTCTGAACAGAAACACCAGTTAAGAGTTTTGGAGTTGAGCAGATCGAGGGGCTGAAATCCTGCCTAGGAGCTTCAATAGGGGTTGACCTTGGCTGACATCTCTCAGTGCCTCAGTAAGATCAGAACAATCCAGTACCTGGCCAGGCGCGGTGGCGCATGCCTGCAATCCCAACACTTTGCCAGGCTGAGGCCTGAGGTCAGGAGTTCGAGACCAGTCTGGCCAACATGGTGAAACCCCATCTCTATTCCAAATACAAAAAAAAAAAAAAAAAATTAGCCGGGCATGGTGGTGCGTGCCTGTAATCCCAGCTATTCAGGAGGCTGAGGCAGGGGAATTGCTTGAACCAGGGAGGTGGAGGTTGCAGTGAGCCGAGATCGCGCCACTGCCCTCCAACCTGGGTGACAGCGTGAGGC